CTGCAGCCTGCTACATTTGCCTCTCTCACCCAACTGTCACACCAGCAAAGGCGAGTTGGAGCAGTAATTGGCTTAAAGGCTGAATAATTGCTTCTGAATGCCAACAAGTGACGTTATCTTTATAACAAAAACAATTGCCATGTTCTCACGGAAGTACAGATTTCATTGCAAATGGGTTTGCTTTAAAGCAGCTACACTGCAATAAAATTACAGTGCTCTGCAGCATTCAGCTTGGCTCTTCACAGCCACCCACCCGATTACAGGCTCTGTCATGCCAGCAGAAGATTGTTGCTTGGTTTCTGTAATATTTTTATAGCCTTGCTTCCCTCTAGATAACTTTAGAGGTGGATTGCACTCACTCCTTTCCTTTCATCAGATTTATCTGCTGTAAAAAAGAAGTAAACTGGTGGATGGAAAGTCTTTTACGTGGCTTTAAATATGCTTTTCTGTTGGCTTTCTTTTACACAGATTCTAATAGCATAATAGCTCTGGTTTATGTCAGTAATTCTGTAAAAGGTTAATCTCTAAATCACCAGCATTTCCTAAATTCCTAATCAACTTCATGTTTGGAAAGGAACCCATATAAATGCTCAATTTGTTAATATTAGAATGGGTTGAGCAGGTCAAGGAAAAGTATAACCTCCGTGCATGAAGATAAATTGGATCCAGCAAAAATACCTCAGATACGTTTTGTCCTAATAGGCATGAATACAGAGGCTGAATATGAGGGAGAATGAGCATGGATGTATTTAGCAGCAGAATCTGCTGTAGCTCACCATCCCCTTCTCTATAAATGAGTGTTTCTTAAAGGATGGAAAAAAAAAAATGAGATAAGTTGGTTATAAAAGCCTTATTTTCTAGAAAGTGCATGTTGAGCTGTGCTGAGGGTAGATAGGAAGTCCACCCAGCAAAAGTAGTGGAATAGGCAGTGGAAAGGTGAACAAACATAGAATCATAGTATCATTAAGGTTGGAAAAGACCTCTGAGATCAAGTCCAACCATCAACCCATCCCCACTATGCCCACTAACACATGTGAAAACGTGTGTATATTTGAGAAGACAGAAAAGAGAGAGAGGGGCTGGGTGTCTTCTTCAAACCGCTGCTGTTTGCCCCTGCCATGTGGGAGGTGAAGGCACTGAGAAATCTCATTTACCTGGCGTGTGTGGCAGTCCCCTCGCCTTCTCACCAGGTTTCATCTTCCCTTTCATCTGTGCCCTTGCCCCTTCCTTTTCTCTTTCTTGTTCAATGGAGCTGTTTGCTGCGGTGCCTTCCTCTCCAGGAGCTGTTTCATCCCTGCTTGCACAGATTTTAAAACTGCTTTCTTCACCCACATTCAGTCTTGGTTTTCATCTGTGCTGGTCCTTTAGATTTACCATCTTTCAAACGAAAAGGCAGAGGAAGCCAAACCACAGCTTCATTTCCTTTTCATTTCTCCAGTCCTTTCTCTTATTTTTTGTCACCTCTTCATTTCTTTTATTGTTATTATTATTATGATAGCGCTACTAATAAGCTTCCTTATTAAATACTTATTTGCCACTCTGAATACCACTGGAGAAGCTGGAGGGAAGGGATATTCAGAGCATCCTTTTGCTCTTAATGCGGAACCAGACATAATCAAGAAACAAATTTAGTCCATCTCAAAAGCAAACGAGAGGCTCTTTACTGGAGCCAAAGAAAACAACCAAGTAGGTGCACTTCAGGTAGCCCTCAACACTTTTGCCATAGAATCACAGAGCATCTACTACAGCATACAAAAATATCCTTAGGTATCAGTAATGATTTTTGCACCCATGTGCAAGGCAGTTAATATCCAAGCATGGAGCTGCATTTTCACACTGCCCTAGCCCCCTGCAGTACTCAGACAGCATGGTAAAGGAGGGAATTTGCAGCTTTAACACAGAATTTCTTTGTATTTTTATATATTCAGGCCAGAAGCAGAATGTGATACATCAGCATTGATTCTGTGGTTTCATATCACTTTCTTTTTTTTTTTTTTTTCTTTAGTACAGAACAAAAGGAAAAAAGACAGAAAAGAAAATAAATTATCCCTTATATACATTCATAGCATACACAGCAACAGTTCCTTCATCACTGGGTGCACTGTGAGTGTGTATTGATGTTAGCAGCAAGAGATTGCATATTAGAGATCTATAACACTGATAGTGTTAACCATCCTCAAAAATGATGGCTCTTTCTCATGCCTTTTACCCTGTCTTGTATGTTAAGAACACTAAAAAAAAAAAAAAGAAATAATGTTAATTACCTAATTATAAAAGGCAGATTAGTCATGTTAAGTGGAACATTCAAAGGGGACTATTTAAAATATTTTATTTCCTTTGATATTTCCCAATAATCTGAACAAGAAACTGTCACAGCTAACTCCAAAAGTACCTTTTTTTTTTTTTTTTTCCCCTTCTTCTCCTTTTTTTTTTTTGGAGCCATAGAGTGAGCCAGGGTAAGGGGATCAAGAGAGAGGGAATGACATATGTCTGGACAGCTGGTAAACATGAAATCTGAAAATCTGAAAGGAATAGTGAGGGGAAAATGTATTCCTGCAGTTGCCATAAATACATTACAAATAGAAGACTTCTCATATATACCAATGCAAGCAGCCAGTTGCAGGATGAATAACTGGGTTTGTGAGAGCTGAACTGAAATGAAATCCTTGCATCCTTTTTATTATCCATGCTTTTGTCAAATCAACTTTTAGAACAAATGTGGGCAGGCAACGGAGCAACCTCTGTGCCATGTAACAGGTGGCAGTCTTCTTTGCACCAGTAGATGAGTATCCAGATATCTGGAGATCATCAGGGGGCTGTCTCTAGAAGACATTACCCTCATAAAAGATTTTCACATGAAGACTGTGAAACAGCTCATTTTTGGCAGGTTAATAAAGTGCTATCCTCTCCATGGAGGGTTCATCCATCATCCTGCTGGGGTGGCAAGCCGTTGGTGGTCATTACCTCCCTCCAGGAGAAATGGCAACAGGCAGTACTGCAATTTGCCCTCACTTCTGGAATCATGCCTCTTGAAAGCCAAATGTTCTGTTCAGTTTACTCAAGCTGTCATTCGAGCATGAAGCGCGGGGTGAATAAATTGCAAAGGTGGAATTGCTCACATCTTGCAAACTTTGCTTGAGGTTGCTAACACCAATAAACAGCAGGAATCATTCCAGGGGGGTGTGTTTAAAATACAACCAACAGCTATGCTAAAAAATACATAGAAATACAAGCACAGGATAGTTGTTTGTCAATATCAGATTTGCATCAGATTTACAGGGTCCAAAACATGACAACAGTAATACATTTCCTTTGAGTAACAAGGGGTCACTATGTAAAGAAATATTTTGTTTGTTGTTTTTTCCTTTTTTTTTTTTTTTTTTACCCATAAGTAGACAATATGTTAACAGTCTTGGCTGGATTTGGAAGCTTTCTGGCATTTAGCTGTAATCAGTCCTTCTGATTGCAGTGCTGGATGTTGATTTGAGGAATGTATAACTTAGTCCAAAGTTAACCTTAGATCTGTGTTGATTTCAGAGAGGGCTTTAAAGGGGAAAATACACATTTCTGGTCTCAGCATGGCATGAAGTAATTTCTGCCATTACCTACACTACCTTTGCTCATAAGTTCCTCTCTTGAGAGTCCCTATATTGATAATTTGGGGATGAATCAGGCCCTTGTGTGCTTGAGGCAAAGAAATAGAAATGTACAGTTGTTTAAGCAGATAAAGGGCCAGTTTGACAGCTTGTTTCAAACCTGGGGGTAATTTTTCAGTGGCTTTGATTTAAAAAGTCTGTTTTTATTAAAATTCCCCTGAAGAATCCTCTCCCAGTGCATATTCTCATTGATCTCATTGATAACATTACAGCCTTTTTAAATATATATACATATGTATTTTACTAGAAGGCTATATCATATTTAATATTAAACAGAGTGATGTATGTACGAAGTAGAGGAAGATATAAGTTTTGACCCCTTAAAAATAGTGTCAGTTAGGAAAAATATAAAGCTCACTCTTTATGGTTAAAATTAGCAGCTAAAAAGCTGCTATGCAGTAAAAAAATTACATGAGCTGTGCGTAATCTCTTCTTTATAAGACTGCTGTATCCTTTTAAGAGTAGATAGCACTTGGATGCTATTAAAAAAAAGAGAAAAAAAAAAAGAAAAAAACCCTCTATGTTCTATTAAAATTTCTGTTAGATTTCTGGAGTTTTCCTCTCTTGCATCTTAGGGATAGGGAAATATGTACAAAGCATAAAAAAAATGTTTCCTGGTTCTCTATCTGCAGCATTTTATTAGCATGTTATGCTATATGGAGAGAAATTTAAGATGCTCTGCCTGGTGTTATAAAACTGCCTCACCTTCATTAGTATGAGGGGAGTTGTTTGAAAGATCAAGCAGTAGGTTATTCATGTACTAGAATGAAAAATCCAAAATACAAGGAAAGGAAGCCTTTATTTAAGGGCAATCAGAATAAAGCAGCCGTGTGATTCTACATTATCAAATCACTGTTCATACCCATAAATCCCATGGATCAGTCATTGGTAGGGAGGGTTCCTATGCTTTCAGCCTCTGTGTGGGTTTCAGGCTGTTTTGTTGGTGAGGGCAGTGAGGGACACAAGGCGAGCTTTGCTAGCATATGCCAGAGAACCCAGAAGTATGCTTGGATAGCTCTGTCCCACTCACAGCCCCAGACACGCACAGGTTGCACCACTAAGCACTGAACTGCTCCTGCTTGCCTCTCAGTGTGGCTCTACATTGCATAAAGCAAAGGTTTCTTTGCTCTGGTCATAGCTCAGAGCAAGCATAGAAGTGGGAAATGCTAGCAAAAGCCCTTACACTTAGGGTTTTCTCATATTTTTTGTTTTAAAGAAGATGATGACTAGCACTTTTTCAGCAGCATTTCACTAATTCGTTTCTTTACAAGACTTTGCCATATGATCCATTTTGATTAAAAAATATATATATACTTTTAGGGGTTACGATGCAGTTTTTATGGCTCTTACAGCAACATACAAGTGAGCTGTGCTTAAAAACCCCTTTGACACGCAGTCCTAGGGCATGGGCAGAACTTCAGCCCCTCTGGAGTGCACTGGCTGCACTAACATCCAGTTACAGGTAGCGCAGGAACACAAATAGAATTCTGGTGTCATGCTTCATATCACCAGTAAAATGATGGAAGTGAATGTGCACTAATTACAACGGGAAGCCATTGGGTTAATTTTTATCAGCCTATTTGATGTGGCTTCTTTGCTCCCAGGCTTTCGGTTCAACACTCAGTATGAAGAGAAAAAAAGGTTAAACTGTTGCATTTTGTATACAGGGAACAATTCAGGTAATATACACCAGTCTGTAAAAACTGTAAATGCTATTTTTTTTTATTTTAAACATTTTCCTTAGTTTACAAAAGATCAATAATCAGTACCTTTTTTACACTCTCAGTTTCCTGAATATTGACAGATCTTCAAAGGGAGTATTAGCATAGGAAATCTTAAGATTGGCTGTCCTGAAGATTTTAAGACATGATAAAGCTAAAATATCAAGTTCTGCCGACAGCTCCTCCTGTGATTTCAGCAGAGGAGTGCCCACGAAATCCTCAGCAAAGCCCCACAAACCCCCCACTCTGCTCCCCGTCTGCGCGCCGCTATTTGGTTGCACACTGTGTAAATCCCCAAGGCAAATCACACCTCGCACTCCCTTGCTGGCTGCTGGTGACAGGAGCAAGATCCGTACTCATTAATGATCACCAGGGCTCCCTCGATGTGGTTGGGTTTGTAATCAACATAATACTCCTGGGCTGACATGGCAGCCATTTGATGCATGGTCTGTTTCTGCTTCTGCTTCCTGCGCTGTGTTACAAAGCACTGTCTTAGCTGCCTTATGCTGGCTGGAAAGCACTTCCAAGAGACGTACAACACTAAAACCACGATGAGGAAGCTAAAAATCAGTGCCATGGTCCCCGTCACCACCTTGTGAATCTGCACGGCGTTCTCCGCGCCTTCGCCGGGCAGCGTCACGGTGATGGCGTACGTCGTCGGCTCCTCGTCGGCCTCCGGCACGTAGGCCGTGGCGGCGGCCGAACCGTAGCCAAACATTTGGTCGCTGTTGTTGGTCACAGGGGACAGGGTGTTGACACTGGTGGGGTCGACTGTGTCCTCGCACAGGTGGAAAGCATAGACTGCATCCAAAACGTCCTCGCCCTGCGCGTACTCGGGTGTAGCACAGAGCAGGTTGCTGTCGTAGCGGCCCTTGAAGTTGCTCAGCCATGAGGCCAGGGCACAGACGTTGCGGCCGCAGTCCCAGGTGTTGGCCGACAGGCTGATGCTCGTGAGAGACTTCCAGGAGTCCAGGATGCGCGAGTCGATGTAGGTCAGCCGGTTGGAGTCCAGCTGCAGGGACTTGAGGTGAGGCACGCTTTCGAAGACGTGAGGTTCGATGTATTCGATTTCGTTGCCAGAGAGATCCAGTTTTTCCAGTTGCCATATCCAGTCCAAAGTGTTGACGACGATGGTGACTTTATTCCGTCGCAAGCAGAGCGAGTGCAGGGAGATGAGCCTGGGGAAGTGGGCTAAATTCACCTTCACCAAGTCATTGTGCTCGAGGTGCAGCTCGGTGAGCTTAAACAAGCCCGCGAAAGAGTTTCGAGCCAGGCTCTTTAACTGATTGTATCCTATGTCTAGAAACTTCAGGCTGCGACAGTCCTGAAAAATTCTCACCGGCACAAACTTGATGGCGTTTGACCGCATGTGCAAAGTCGTGAGTTTTCTCAGCCCGTGAAATAGGTCGGGCTCCAGAGACTGCAGGTTGTTGTACGATAAATCCACACTGCGCAAGTTTGGCATGGGTCGGAACGTGTTGTTGGGCAGTTGGGTGATTTTGTTGGAACTCAGGGTGAGCTCCTTAACTCGCCGCAATTTTTGAAAGGCATTCCCCTCTACTGAGCAAATGTGATTGTGATCCAGATAGAGCCACGTGAGCTGCATTAACCCTGTGAACTGTCCGTCATGCAGCTCTGAAAGGCTGTTGTACCGCAGAGACAAGCCCATCATGCCCGACAGGTTGCGAGGCATCTCTGTGAGATTCAGTGATTCACAGTACAAAAGCCTGCCCTCACACCGACATAGCTGTGGACACCCACTATTCACGGCTGGAAGCATTTTAGAAAAGATACCCAGCGTACACAATATCAACCCCGGGGGCTTCCTCAGCAGCCAGTTTAAACAGAGACCGATAAGAAGGAAATCCATTAGCAAGAATATTTCCAAATATGCTCGAGAATGTCCATTGAATCTTTTCAAATTCTACATCATATTTTATTTAAGAGGAAAAACAGCAACAAGAAAGAAAATAAACAACAACAACAACAACAAAAAAAAGCCCAGACCAAAGCAAAACAGCAAACGGAACAAACACAGAGCCAAATATTTCACTTTACAGCATGCAGGAGCTGCGCAGCATTAAAGTTCACAGACATTCAAAGGTAAAATGATAGTGATTTTGTTCATGTTAAAGGCTGCAGCAAAGAAAAAAAAAATCTTTCTTCATGAAAGAATTTAATTAAAAAGTGTCTTACCCACCCTTTTCCAGAGAGTGACAACCTCCATTCAGTTGCTTCCTTTGTGTTTGGACTAATTATATGCAGAGCTAAAAAAGACCCCTCTGTGCTACAAATTCGGTCCCTTTCAGAGCTGTGCAAGGCTGGCAAGCTCACAATGTCTCACTTCGCTTCTGCTCAAAGAGCTCAAGGCTTGTCCAGCTAGCTTTTAGCTGACTCCTAGGACCTGCAAGTTTCAGAACTATGTGCATGAGCTTGATCTTCTCCTTCTCCCTCTGTCCTTTTCTCTGCAGTTAACACTGTGGCGTGAAAAAAACTCCAAACTCTTTACTAACGACTCCACAGGATTTGGCAATCTGTTTAATGTCCATCATTTGCAACGACCATTGACCGGCACAACCTTTACTCCATAGAGAGATTACCATGCATTCACTGACCGGCTAAGGGTAGCTTTATTTCCCATTCTTTGTTCGCTTTGCTTGTTAGGTGATGCTTAGAGCAGAGAGACAGCAAGAATCCTTTCCCTTCAGCCGAGCAGTATGTTGGTAGAGCATGCAGAGGCACCTAGTGTTCACTGAGTGTCGTAAGCTGCTCATGATTGTACGCCTGCACTGTGCATCTCAGACATGGGCAGATGGAAAAGGGGTGGGCATAAAACCAAACGCTGGAGCGAACCGGGAAAGTAATATATGCTCTTTGATGAAATGGAAAATACTTTAAGCCTATCTCTCCATTTCTCAAACACGCACGCACACACAGCCGCACAAATCATCAACAGCGAGGCAGTGCTAAGTAGGAAGCTTGAGAATTAGGATTCTTTATTATTATTATTATTATTTGCTTTTGTTTAAAGTCTGAATGTATAAGCCATTAGCCGGGGACAGGGAGATACTTGATTTCTTGGTTTGGGAAGGAATATGTAAAGCAGTGTCATCGGATTGCTTTTTCTCTGTAAATCTGAGGATATTTGCCTTTCGGAGACTTTGGGGTTGAAGGGAGGGGTGGGGAGGGGGGGGTGCGGAATGTGTTTTTATTCTGACATTGTCTAAATAGAGGATGATTTGAAATTCTGTGCATTCTTTCTCATAGAAATGCAGCCAGAGCTCTGCAAATAGGAACGTCTGCTTTCCTATAAGCTTTAATTACATTTGGTCTTTTTCCATCCTGCATATTCTCTGTGTGTGTTCAGCACATGCCTTTCCTAAAGGCTTGCTTTTTTTTTTTTTTTTTTTTTTTTTTCCCTGCAGTGTATGCTACGGCACACAAAACTATCTATTATTCTTGCAGCATAAAGAATACCGTGCCTTCGGCATCAGATCAGCATATAGGTTCCTCTGACTATGTCAGCAGCATGCAAAAAGGGGTGGAAAACCCAATCACTTCCTAAGTTCTGCAGATTGTGTTGCTTTTTTGTTCCGTGCACCAAAATAATTTTTGCCTGGTAATTTGCAGCCCTCATTATCAATGGGAAATGCGTCGGCAATGGGCTCTCACTCCAATTTTTACCGACTGAAAAACGTACAATACTTACTTCTGTCAGGAAAACGCTGGCCATCTTCTTTTCCTGTTATGAAATAGAATCTAAAGGCTGTGTGTTGATGAATGCGATCAGAGCTGACAGCTCACGATCCTGCATGAATCCTCTGTGAAGAAGTTTCGCTCGGAAATACAAGTATTGCAGAAGATAGTGCTGATTTTCTCCTTAAGCCGAAATCGGTTGCAAAGTACTGGAGGCAGGGCAAAAGTGTTACATTTCCTTTCTTTTTCATAGCCATGTTAATATTTAAGTCTTCTTTTTTTGAAGTATTTGTTGCAGAGGTATGGAATGCTGGAGCTTTGCATGTGTGTGAGCGTGGCTGGCTGCTGTCTGTGTGTGTGTTGGTATAGATCAAGGAATGCAGTAATTTGATGCAGTAGAAGTTGTTTTACAGAAGTCTTGGTAAACTTAGCCTCTCGTTCATAAGAAAAATCACTGAAAGAGATTCATTACAAATGTATTTGCTCAAACCACTCTTAAATAAATGACAAATGTTAAGCAGTCAGTCTGCAGTCTCAGAACCCTGGAATCGATGCACTTTAGTGCTCCCAATCTGGTTTATTCATTCACATCCTTCTGCTTTTCACATTTCAGGGGTCTCAAAGAAAAATGTGATGCTTTAATATTGTATGAACCTCTTGTATGTTGTAGTAGGGTAAGAGAGCCAAATGTGTTCTCCCTCTCCCAAGATCGTGCTGTCTTGTTCAAAGCAGGCTGTTTATGCAAGTGTCCACTGGTTGCAGTACACCTTAATTCTGTTTCTCAATACACAGAAGCAGGAGGGAAAGCAATCACAGAACGGGGAGAAAGAGCATAGAATCAGGAGAAGTGATTAAAAACACCTGTGTGCAAGAATAATGCATTCTAGCTTGCATTTCCAAATATTTTGATGCAATTAGTAAGGGGAAAAGAACGGACTATTTTTAACTTTATGAATACTGAACAAAGCTTCACAGCATGGAGGCTGTATCCCTTAAAAACTGCAACCCTGTACGTGTTGTTGAGGTGGATCTTACTGCCCTCTCCCATTTAACGGTTTGGGCATAGAACTCCCAAACTAGCCCTAAAAATTTCCATTCTGTATTCAAGGAAAGCTGACATTTTCTGCAAATCAGATGACGATAATGATCTCTTAGTTACCATCTAAATACTGCGTATAAAATGAAGCATTTCACTTTAAGAGATGAAACTCCATGATACATCACTGTGAAGAGCTGAATTCTTTTTTCTGTGATGCTTCTTGCAATCGCCTGGGATACATTTTGTGCCCTAACCAATCTGCCTATTGCCATGCTGGCATATAATCTATTATCATTTGGTTACCAGTGGTAGAAATTAGAACAGACAGTAGAAAACCTATCTAGCATTAGCTGGAAGGCTGACAACTAGAATTAGGAACCCAGAATTAACGGCCCTAAGCAGAATCTCACAGCTCTGTCAGAGCTATATTGCATGAAAGACTTTGCTGTTATTTGTCCAAAAATGTGTTTGTAGAAAACAATCCTAAAAACAGGTAGTTTTTAAACTAGAGACCTCAGCGTATGTTGGGAGCTGTGATGGTGAGGCAGAGTGATGACCAAGTGCAAGAAATGGGGCATGGGAATCTGAACAGACAAACATGGGTGAATGTTCAGCTTAGCCCTGAAATAGCTTTGTAAATTTGGTATTCTTCTATATTTTTTAAACTTTTTGAAATGTACTTCTTGTTATGGAACTGGGAATCCATTTTGAACTTGATTGTAACACAAAGGACTTAATTTCCACTCTTTGAGCTGTTATCACAGCCAAACTGTCAAGTTTACACATTTTCTGAAGTTTCAAAGCCTCTGGCAAATCTCTATAAATTAGTGGATTTAAATTAGCCTTATTAAATGTGCTATTATAAACCAATCTTAAGAAGCACAAACTAAGTTTCTAAGTACTTAAGAGAGATTGATTAAATCAATGTAAAGTAGGTTATAGAAGAGCAACTCGAGTTAAAGTTTTAGAAATTTTTACTGGTAAGCCATTTATTGGAGTCATCCCAAGTTTAAGAGGGTTGGAACAGGGTGAGTAAAATCAGAATATTGACCCTAATGTCTAAATATATATGTACACGTTGCAATGCATTAACCACCACTGCCACCCATAAATTGTCTTGTTTATTGTACGCATGTAGTAATGAGTATTCCTCTTCCTTCTGGTGTTTTCTGAGTGGTTTCTATCAGTATAATAAAAAGTGGGGCTTCTAGTAGTGATTTTAATTTCCTTTCATGAATGGACAGACTCAAAGCCTGATCTTACAAAGTAGTCTTTAATTTTCAGGTGCACTGAACCATAGCATTTCATATAAAGGAAACATTTAAAAACAGAAAAGAGAAGGAAGAGATGTGACTCCAAGTAAAGCAAATTAAAGCTGTTATTTCTCTTATGTTCGTATCCTGGCCATCCCTGGCATTTGGTCAGCTCTCCCTTCTATATAGAATTCAGGGTTTCAGGTAATAAGAAGTCCATCACCTATATAACTTGTCTTTTTTAGGAATTGCAAAAATGAAGTGTATTAGACAAGTTCTTGACCAAAATAGTCCCGGACACTCACAATACCAAAGAAAGAGTCATAACTGCCATTCATTTCTTGCAGTACAGAAAGACACGTTGGATTTGATACTGCATTTAAACAGTAGATATTCTTATGTAAATCATCTTATTGTTTTTGACAATGCAATAAACACTTTTTATCTCTCAGTACAGCCACTCTGTTATCATCATCAGCCATATTCAAAAGCAGATATTCATGTATAGCTCTGTAAAGTCACTCAGAAGAGACCTATCTGTAGAACTGCCAATGAAGTACAGAAATGTCCATTCTCAGGAAAATACATCAGTGGTAAGATGAAGAGCCTCTCTCACCTTTTCATTATTTGTAGAATATGTGTATAAGCCATAGAGTTACAGATTCTCTTAGGTATCAGTGAAAATTGCCTATGAATTTCTGAATGTGATGTCAAAGCATTGGGCAATGTTATTGGTTGTGAATGTCTAGGTATAATGGAAAAAATGAGTTGTTATAAAAGTACTATCATTTTTCATTAGTCATCATATTCTTGAAGATCATTTTAGCATCCTCATCAAGCAAAGGTTTGTGCTACATTCAGGTTACCACCTAGTTGAAACTCTTGTTTCACATGTAAAGTGAATTATTTTACCT